GGCACGGATGGTGAGTTTTTGCCGGCACCGCAGTCTCTTGTCACCTTTGCTTTGCTGTCACATTGAATCCCATTGCTTTGCTGTTCTGATCGTGGGCTTTGGTTCTTTGTCTTTCCGTTTATTGTGTCTGTTTTTCCATTGCATCACATTGGTTTGCTTTCTTTTTTCTACCTGGTTTTGCTTTCTCTACTGCTCCTTTTCCTTTGCTCTGCTTTGTTCATTTCATCTTTGTCTTTTTTTGGTTTCTTTCCTTTTGGTTGTTCATTCTGTTCCTTGGCTCTTGGTTTTCGGGCGTAGCTTTGCTTTGTCCTACTTTCCAATTTGCTTGTTGACTTTCATTCTGGTTTAATTTTTTTTTTGATTTCCTTGTTCTCGTCTCAGATTTTGTTAGCTTTTATATTGTCTCACTGTGTTGCTTTCAATTTTTTGCTTTGCCATATTGTTGCAGTCAACGCCCTTGCTTTTTGTTGTACTTTTTCCCTTTACTTTGCTCTTTTCCTTTTGGCTTTTGTTTCCTGCTCCTTTGGCTTTGCTTTCTAGTGCTTATTTTTCTTTTTGGTTGGTTCTTTTTCTTTCCAGACCATGCCTTTGCATTCTGGTAGTATGCCTTCTCTGTTGTCATCTTTTCCTTTTACTTTCATTAGATTCTTCCTCCTTACTTGTCCGCATGGCTGCTTCCTTCCTCTTACCTTGCCTTTACTTACCTGACGTTAGCCTTCTGGACGGTTCATTTTTACATCCTCCCTGTCCTTGCCTCTGTCCTCAGTGTGGACTTGAGGCTTTTCTTCAGATGCCTGGCAGCATCCGTGCCCGGTAGCTACCCTGACCTCCTCCTCGGCATGACCACCAGCGCTTTGCCTTCCTCCAGAGAGATGTTTTGTCCTGCTTGCAGCCGCAGACTCCTCCACGGGCACCAGCTGAGGACGTGCATCTCTGCTGGAGGTGGCAGCATGCCCAGTAGCTACCCTGACCTCCTCCCAGGCACGGATGGTGAGTTTTTGCCGGCACCGCAGTCTCTTGTCACCTTTGCTTTGCTGTCACATTGAATCCCATTGCTTTGCTGTTCTGTTCGTGGGCTTTGGTTCTTTGTCTTTCCGTTTATTGTGTCTGTTTTTCCATTGCATCACATTGGTTTGCTTTCTTTTTTCTACTTGGTTTTGCTTTCTCTACTGCTCCTTTTCCTTTGCTCTGCTTTGTTCATTTCATCTTTGTTTGGTTTTTTTGGTTTGCTTTCCTTTTGGTTGTTCATTCTGTTCCTTGGCTCTTGGTTTTCGGGCGTAGCTTTGCTTTGTCCTACTTTCCAATTTGCTTGTTGACTTTCACTCTGGTTTACTTTTTTTTTCCTCCATGCTCTCGCCTTAGATTTTGTTAGCTTTTATATTGTCTCACTGTGTTGCTTTCAATTTTTTGCTTTGCCATATTGTTGCAGTCAACGCCCTTGCTTTTTTTTGGTACTTTTTCCCTTTGTTTACTTTGCTCTTTTTCTTTTCCTTTTGGCTTTTGTTTCCTGCTCCTTTGGCTTTGCTTTCTAGTGCTTATTTTTCTTTTTGGTTGGTTCTTTTTCTTTCCAGACCATGCCTTTGCATTCTGGTAGTATGCCTTCTCTGTTGTCATCTTTTCCTTTTACTTTCATTAGATTCTTCCTCCTTACTTGTCCGCATGGCTGCTTCCTTCCTCTTACCTTGCCTTTACTTACCTGACGTTAGCCTTCTGGACGGTTCATTTTTACATCCTCCCTGTCCTTGCCTCTGTCCTCAGTGTGGACTTGAGGCTTTTCTTCAGATGCCTGGCAGCATCCGTGCCCGGTAGCTACCCTGACCTCCTCCTCGGCATGACCACCAGCGCTTTGCCTTCCTCCAGAGAGATGTTTTGTCCTGCTTGCAGCCGCAGACTCCTCCACGGGCACCAGCTGAGGACGTGCATCTCTGCTGGAGGTGGCAGCATGCCCAGTAGCTACCCTGACCTCCTCCCAGGCACGGATGGTGAGTTTTTGCCGGCACCGCAGTCTCTTGTCACCTTTGCTTTGCTGTCACATTGAATCCCATTGCTTTGCTGTTCTGTTGGTGGGCTTTGGTTCTTTGTCTTTCCGTTTATTGTGTCTGTTTTTCCATTGCATCACATTGGTTTGCTTTCTTTTTTCTACTTGGTTTTGCTTTCTCTACTGCTCCTTTTCCTTTGCTCTGCTTTGTTCATTTCATCTTTGTTTGTTTTTTTTGGTTTGCTTTCCTTTTGGTTGTTCATTCTGTTCCTTGGCTCTTGGTTTTCGGGCGTTGCTTTACTTTGCCCTTCTTTCATACTTGCTTCGTGACTTTCACTCTGGTTTACTTTTTTTTTCCTCCATACTCTCGCCTTAGATTTTGTTAGCTTTTATATTGTCTCACTGTGTTGCTTTCAATTTTTTGCTTTGCCATATTGTTGCAGTCAACGCCCTTGCTTTTTGTTGTACTTTTTCCCTTTGTTTACTTTGCTCTTTTTCTTTTCCTTTTGGCTTTTGTTTCCTGCTCCTTTGGCTTTGCTTTCTAGTGCTTATTTTTCTTTTTGGTTGGTTCTTTTTCTTTCCAGACCATGCCTTTGCTTTCTGAAAGTATGCCTTCTCTGTTCTCATCTTTTCCTTTTACTTTCATTAGATTCTTCCTCCTTACTTGTCCGCATGGCTGCTTCCTTCCTCTTACCTTGCCTTTACTTACCTGACATTAGCCTTCTGAACGGTTCATTTTTACATCCTCCCTGTCCTTGCCTCTGTCCTCAGTGTGGACTTGAGGCTTTTCTTCAGATGCCTGGCAGCATCCGTGCCCAGTAGCTACCCTGACCTCCTCCCAGGCACGGATGGTGAGTTTTTGCCGGCACCGCAGTCTCTTGTCACCTTTGCTTTGCTGTCACATTGAATCCCATTGCTTTGCTGTTCTGTTGGTGGGCTTTGGTTCTTTGTCTTTCCGTTTATTGTGTCTGTTTTTCCATTGCATCACATTGGTTTGCTTTCTTTTTTCTACCTGGTTTTGCTTTCTCTACTGCTCCTTTTCCTTTGCTCTGCTTTGTTCATTTCATCTTTGTCTTTTTTTGGTTTGCTTTCCTTTTGGTTGTTCATTCTGTTCCTTGGCTCTTGGTTTTCGGGCGTAGCTTTGCTTTGTCCTACTTTCCAATTTGCTTGTTGACTTTCATTCTGGTTTAATTTTTTTTTTGATTTCCTTGTTCTCGTCTCAGATTTTGTTAGCTTTTATATTGTCTCACTGTGTTGCTTTCAATTTTTTGCTTTGCCATATTGTTGCAGTCAACGCCCTTGCTTTTTGTTGTACTTTTTCCCTTTACTTTGCTCTTTTCCTTTTGGCTTTTGTTTCCTGCTCCTTTGGCTTTGCTTTCTAGTGCTTATTTTTCTTTTTGGTTGGTTCTTTTTCTTTCCAGACCATGCCTTTGCTTTCTGAAAGTATGCCTTCTCTGTTGTCATCTTTTCCTTTTACTTTCATTAGATTCTTCCTCCTTACTTGTCCGCATGGCTGCTTCCTTCCTCTTACCTTGCCTTTACTTACCTGACGTTAGCCTTCTGGACGGTTCATTTTTACATCCTCCCTGTCCTTGCCTCTGTCCTCAGTGTGGACTTGAGGCTTTTCTTCAGATGCCTGGCAGCATCCGTGCCCGGTAGCTACCCTGACCTCCTCCTCGGCATGACCACCAGCGCTTTGCCTTCCTCCAGAGAGATGTTTTGTCCTGCTTGCAGCCGCAGACTCCTCCACGGGCACCAGCTGAGGACGTGCATCTCTGCTGGAGGTGGCAGCATGCCCAGTAGCTACCCTGACCTCCTCCCAGGCACGGATGGTGAGTTTTTGCCGGCACCGCAGTCTCTTGTCACCTTTGCTTTGCTGTCACATTGAATCCCATTGCTTTGCTGTTCTGATCGTGGGCTTTGGTTCTTTGTCTTTCCGTTTATTGTGTCTGTTTTTCCATTGCATCACATTGGTTTGCTTTCTTTTTTCTACTTGGTTTTGCTTTCTCTACTGCTCCTTTTCCTTTGCTCTGCTTTGTTCATTTCATCTTTGTTTGTTTTTTTTGGTTTGCTTTCCTTTTGGTTGTTCATTCTGTTCCTTGGCTCTTGGTTTTCGGGCGTAGCTTTGCTTTGTCCTACTTTCCAATTTGCTTGTTGACTTTCATTCTGGTTTAATTTTTTTTTTGATTTCCTTGTTCTCGTCTCAGATTTTGTTAGCTTTTATATTGTCTCACTGTGTTGCTTTCAATTTTTTGCTTTGCCATATTGTTGCAGTCAACGCCCTTGCTTTTTGTTGTACTTTTTCCCTTTACTTTGCTCTTTTCCTTTTGGCTTTTGTTTCCTGCTCCTTTGGCTTTGCTTTCTAGTGCTTATTTTTCTTTTTGGTTGGTTCTTTTTCTTTCCAGACCATGCCTTTGCATTCTGGTAGTATGCCTTCTCTGTTGTCATCTTTTCCTTTTACTTTCATTAGATTCTTCCTCCTTACTTGTCCGCATGGCTGCTTCCTTCCTCTTACCTTGCCTTTACTTACCTGACGTTAGCCTTCTGGACGGTTCATTTTTACATCCTCCCTGTCCTTGCCTCTGTCCTCAGTGTGGACTTGAGGCTTTTCTTCAGATGCCTGGCAGCATCCGTGCCCGGTAGCTACCCTGACCTCCTCCTCGGCATGACCACCAGCGCTTTGCCTTCCTCCAGAGAGATGTTTTGTCCTGCTTGCAGCCGCAGACTCCTCCACGGGCACCAGCTGAGGACGTGCATCTCTGCTGGAGGTGGCAGCATGCCCAGTAGCTACCCTGACCTCCTCCCAGGCACGGATGGTGAGTTTTTGCCGGCACCGCAGTCTCTTGTCACCTTTGCTTTGCTGTCACATTGAATCCCATTGCTTTGCTGTTCTGTTCGTGGGCTTTGGTTCTTTGTCTTTCCCTTCATTGTGTCTGTTTTTCCATTGCATCACATTGGTTTGCTTTCTTTTTTCTACTTGGTTTTGCTTTCTCTACTGCTCCTTTTCCTTTGCTCTGCTTTGTTCATTTCATCTTTGTTTGTTTTTTTTGGTTTGCTTTCCTTTTGGTTGTTCATTCTGTTCCTTGGCTCTTGGTTTTCGGGCGTTGCTTTGCTTTGCCCTTCTTTCATACTTGCTTTGTGACTTTCACTCTGGTTTACTTTTTTTTTCCTCCATGCTCTCGCCTTAGATTTTGTTAGCTTTTATATTGTCTCACTGTGTTGCTTTCAATTTTTTGCTTTGCCATATTGTTGCAGTCAACGCCCTTGCTTTTTTTTGGTACTTTTTCCCTTTGTTTACTTTGCTCTTTTTCTTTTCCTTTTGGCTTTTGTTTCCTGCTCCTTTGGCTTTGCTTTCTAGTGCTTATTTTTCTTTTTGGTTGGTTCTTTTTCTTTCCAGACCATGCCTTTGCTTTCTGAAAGTATGCCTTCTCTGTTCTCATCTTTTCCTTTTACTTTCATTAGATTCTTCCTCCTTCCTCTTACCTTGCCTTTACTTACCTGACATTAGCCTTCTGGTCGGTTCATTTTTACATCCTCCCTGTCCTTGCCTCTGTCCTCAGTGTGGACTTGAGGCTTTTCTTCAGATGCCTGGCAGCATCCGTGCCCGGTAGCAACCCTGACCTCCTCCCAGGCACGGATGGTGAGTTTTTGCCGGCACCGCAGTCTCTGGTCACCTTTGCTTTGCTGTCACATTGAATCCGATTGCTTTGCTGTTCTGTTGGTGGGCTTTGGTTCTTTGTCTTTCCGTTTATTGTGTCTGTTTTTCCATTGCATCACATTGGTTTGCTTTCTTTTTTCTACTTGGTTTTGCTTTCTCTACTGCTCCTTTTCCTTTGCTCTGCTTTGTTCATTTCATCTTTGTTTGTTTTTTTTGGTTTGCTTTCCTTTTGGTTGTTCATTCTGTTCCTTGGCTCTTGGTTTTCGGGCGTAGCTTTGCTTTGTCCTACTTTCCAATTTGCTTGTTGACTTTCATTCTGGTTTAATTTTTTTTTTGATTTCCTTGTTCTCGTCTCAGATTTTGTTAGCTTTTATATTGTCTCACTGTGTTGCTTTCAATTTTTTGCTTTGCCATATTGTTGCAGTCAACGCCCTTGCTTTTTTTTGGTACTTTTTCCCTTTGTTTACTTTGCTCTTTTTCTTTTCCTTTTGGCTTTTGTTTCCTGCTCCTTTGGCTTTGCTTTCTAGTGCTTATTTTTCTTTTTGGTTGGTTCTTTTTCTTTCCAGACCATGCCTTTGCATTCTGGTAGTATGCCTTCTCTGTTGTCATCTTTTCCTTTTACTTTCATTAGATTCTTCCTCCTTACTTGTCCGCATGGCTGCTTCCTTCCTCTTACCTTGCCTTTACTTACCTGACGTTAGCCTTCTGGACGGTTCATTTTTACATCCTCCCTGTCCTTGCCTCTGTCCTCAGTGTGGACTTGAGGCTTTTCTTCAGATGCCTGGCAGCATCCGTGCCCGGTAGCTACCCTGACCTCCTCCTCGGCATGACCACCAGCGCTTTGCCTTCCTCCAGAGAGATGTTTTGTCCTGCTTGCAGCCGCAGACTCCTCCACGGGCACCAGCTGAGGACGTGCATCTCTGCTGGAGGTGGCAGCATGCCCAGTAGCTACCCTGACCTCCTCCCAGGCACGGATGGTGAGTTTTTGCCGGCACCGCAGTCTCTTGTCACCTTTGCTTTGCTGTCACATTGAATCCCATTGCTTTGCTGTTCTGTTCGTGGGCTTTGGTTCTTTGTCTTTCCGTTTATTGTGTCTGTTTTTCCATTGCATCACATTGGTTTGCTTTCTTTTTTCTACTTGGTTTTGCTTTCTCTACTGCTCCTTTTCCTTTGCTCTGCTTTGTTCATTTCATCTTTGTTTGGTTTTTTTGGTTTGCTTTCCTTTTGGTTGTTCATTCTGTTCCTTGGCTCTTGGTTTTCGGGCGTAGCTTTGCTTTGTCCTACTTTCCAATTTGCTTGTTGACTTTCATTCTGGTTTAATTTTTTTTTCCTCCATGCTCTCGCCTTAGATTTTGTTAGCTTTTATATTGTCTCACTGTGTTGCTTTCAATTTTTTGCTTTGCCATATTGTTGCAGTCAACGCCCTTGCTTTTTGTTGTACTTTTTCCCTTTACTTTGCTCTTTTCCTTTTGGCTTTTGTTTCCTGCTCCTTTGGCTTTGCTTTCTAGTGCTTATTTTTCTTTTTGGTTGGTTCTTTTTCTTTCCAGACCATGCCTTTGCATTCTGGTAGTATGCCTTCTCTGTTGTCATCTTTTCCTTTTACTTTCATTAGATTCTTCCTCCTTACTTGTCCGCATGGCTGCTTCCTTCCTCTTACCTTGCCTTTACTTACCTGACGTTAGCCTTCTGGACGGTTCATTTTTACATCCTCCCTGTCCTTGCCTCTGTCCTCAGTGTGGACTTGAGGCTTTTCTTCAGATGCCTGGCAGCATCCGTGCCCGGTAGCTACCCTGACCTCCTCCTCGGCATGACCACCAGCGCTTTGCCTTCCTCCAGAGAGATGTTTTGTCCTGCTTGCAGCCGCAGACTCCTCCACGGGCACCAGCTGAGGACGTGCATCTCTGCTGGAGGTGGCAGCATGCCCAGTAGCTACCCTGACCTCCTCCCAGGCACGGATGGTGAGTTTTTGCCGGCACCGCAGTCTCTTGTCACCTTTGCTTTGCTGTCACATTGAATCCCATTGCTTTGCTGTTCTGTTGGTGGGCTTTGGTTCTTTGTCTTTCCGTTTATTGTGTCTGTTTTTCCATTGCATCACATTGGTTTGCTTTCTTTTTTCTACTTGGTTTTGCTTTCTCTACTGCTCCTTTTCCTTTGCTCTGCTTTGTTCATTTCATCTTTGTTTGTTTTTTTTGGTTTGCTTTCCTTTTGGTTGTTCATTCTGTTCCTTGGCTCTTGGTTTTCGGGCGTTGCTTTACTTTGCCCTTCTTTCATACTTGCTTCGTGACTTTCACTCTGGTTTACTTTTTTTTTCCTCCATGCTCTCGCCTTAGATTTTGTTAGCTTTTATATTGTCTCACTGTGTTGCTTTCAATTTTTTGCTTTGCCATATTGTTGCAGTCAACGCCCTTGCTTTTTTTTGGTACCTTTTCCCTTTGTTTACTTTGCTCTTTTTCTTTTCCTTTTGGCTTTTGTTTCCTGCTCCTTTGGCTTTGCTTTCTAGTGCTTATTTTTCTTTTTGGTTGGTTCTTTTTCTTTCCAGACCATGCCTTTGCTTTCTGAAAGTATGCCTTCTCTGTTCTCATCTTTTCCTTTTACTTTCATTAGATTCTTCCTCCTTCCTCTTACCTTGCCTTTACTTACCTGACATTAGCCTTCTGAACGGTTCATTTTTACATCCTCCCTGTCCTTGCCTCTGTCCTCAGTGTGGACTTGAGGCTTTTCTTCAGATGCCTGGCAGCATCCGTGCCCAGTAGCTACCCTGACCTCCTCCCAGGCACGGATGGTGAGTTTTTGCCGGCACCGCAGTCTCTTGTCACCTTTGCTTTGCTGTCACATTGAATCCCATTGCTTTGCTGTTCTGTTGGTGGGCTTTGGTTCTTTGTCTTTCCGTTTATTGTGTCTGTTTTTCCATTGCATCACATTGGTTTGCTTTCTTTTTTCTACTTGGTTTTGCTTTCTCTACTGCTCCTTTTCCTTTGCTCTGCTTTGTTCATTTCATCTTTGTCTTTTTTTGGTTTCTTTCCTTTTGGTTGTTCATTCTGTTCCTTGGCTCTTGGTTTTCGGGCGTAGCTTTGCTTTGTCCTACTTTCCAATTTGCTTGTTGACTTTCATTCTGGTTTAATTTTTTTTTTGATTTCCTTGTTCTCGTCTCAGATTTTGTTAGCTTTTATATTGTCTCACTGTGTTGCTTTCAATTTTTTGCTTTGCCATATTGTTGCAGTCAACGCCCTTGCTTTTTGTTGTACTTTTTCCCTTTACTTTGCTCTTTTCCTTTTGGCTTTTGTTTCCTGCTCCTTTGGCTTTGCTTTCTAGTGCTTATTTTTCTTTTTGGTTGGTTCTTTTTCTTTCCAGACCATGCCCTTGCATTCTGGTAGTATGCCTTCTCTGTTCTCCTCTTTTCCTTTTGCTTTCATTACGTTCTTCCTCCTTCCTCGTCCCCATGGCTGCTTCCTTCCTCTTACCTTGCCTTTACTTACCTGTAGTTGGCGTTCTGGATGGTTCATTCTTACATCTTCCTTGTCCTTGCCTCTGTCCTCAGTGTGGACTTGAGGCTTTTCTTCAGATGCCTGGCAGCATCCGTGCCCAGTAGCTACCCTGACCTCCTCCTCGGCATGACCACCAGCGCTTTGCCTTCCTCCAGAGAGATGTTTTGTCCTGCTTGCAGCCGCAGACTCCTCCACGGGCACCAGCTGAGGACGTGCATCTCTGCTGGAGGTGGCAGCATGCCCAGTAGCTACCCTGACCTCCTCCCAGGCACGGATGGTGAGTTTTTGCCGGCACCGCAGTCTCTTGTCACCTTTGCTTTGCTGTCACATTGAATCCCATTGCTTTGCTGTTCCGATCGTGGGCTTTGGTTCTTTGTCTTTCCGTTTATTGTGTCTGTTTTTCCATTGCATCACATTGGTTTGCTTTCTTTTTTCTACTTGGTTTTGCTTTCTCTACTGCTCCTTTTCCTTTGCTCTGCTTTGTTCATTTCATCTTTGTTTGTTTTTTTTGGTTTGCTTTCCTTTTGGTTGTTCATTCTGTTCCTTGGCTCTTGGTTTTCGGGCGTTGCTTTACTTTGCCCTTCTTTCATACTTGCTTCGTGACTTTCACTCTGGTTTACTTTTTTTTTCCTCCATACTCTCGCCTTAGATTTTGTTAGCTTTTATATTGTCTCACTGTGTTGCTTTCAATTTTTTGCTTTGCCATATTGTTGCAGTCAACGCCCTTGCTTTTTTTTGGTACTTTTTCCCTTTGTTTACTTTGCTCTTTTTCTTTTCCTTTTGGCTTTTGTTTCCTGCTCCTTTGGCTTTGCTTTCTAGTGCTTATTTTTCTTTTTGGTTGGTTCTTTTTCTTTCCAGACCATGCCTTTGCATTCTGGTAGTATGCCTTCTCTGTTGTCATCTTTTCCTTTTACTTTCATTAGATTCTTCCTCCTTACTTGTCCGCATGGCTGCTTCCTTCCTCTTACCTTGCCTTTACTTACCTGACATTAGCCTTCTGGTCGGTTCATTTTTACATCCTCCCTGTCCTTGCCTCTGTCCTCAGTGTGGACTTGAGGCTTTTCTTCAGATGCCTGGCAGCATCCGTGCCCGGTAGCTACCCTGACCTCCTCCCAGGCACAGATGGTGAGTTTTTGCCGGCACCGCAGTCTCTTGTCACCTTTGCTTTGCTGTCACATTGAATCCGATTGCTTTGCTGTTCTGTTCGTGGGCTTTGGTTCTTTGTCTTTCCGTTTATTGTGTCTGTTTTTCCATTGCATCACATTGGTTTGCTTTCTTCTTTCTACTTGGTTTTGCTTTCTCTACTGCTCCTTTTCCTTTGCTCTGCTTTGTTCATTTCATCTTTGTTTGTTTTTTTTGGTTTGCTTTCCTTTTGGTTGTTCATTCTGTTCCTTGGCTCTTGGTTTTCGGGCGTTGCTTTACTTTGCCCTACTTTCAGACTTGCTTCTTGACTTTCACTCTGGTTTACTTTTTTTTCCTCCATGCTCTCGCCTTAGATTTTGTTAGCTTTTATATTGTCTCACTGTGTTGCTCTGAATTTTTTGCTTTGCCATATTGTTGCAGTCAACGCCCTTGCTTTTTTTTGTACTTTTTCTCCCGGTTTACTTGGCTCCTTTTCTTTTCCTTTTGGCTTTTGTTTCCTGCTCCTTTGGCTTTGCTTTCTAGTGCTTATTTTTCTTTTTGGTTGGTTCTTTTTTTTTCAGTGTATTGTCTCTTTTGGATTTGCTTTCCTTTGTTCCCTTTGTTTTTTTTTTCCTCTACTGCTCCTTAGCTCTCCATTGTTAATGTCATGTTTGTTTGGTTATTTTGGTTTGCTTTCCTTTTTGTTCTTGATTTTGTTTTTTGGCTCTTCGCTTTCCGGCATTGCTTTGCTTTATTCTACTTTCTTCTTTGCTTCTTTTATTCTGGTTTTTTTTTCCCCATGTTCTCTCCTTAGATTTTCTTAGCTTTTATATTGTCTGACTGCTCTGCCAGTCAGCCTGTTTTCAACCCATCTCAATGTCCACCTGTGTATCCCACACTTTTTCAGCTTTGTTATAAGGATTTTTTTGGATACAGTATCAAACGCCTTGTTGAAATCAAGGTGGACTACATCCGCTGCTCTCCCCCCATCCCAGGCAGTGGCAACATTTTGTATTTGTGTTATCGGTTTCTCTTTTGTTTAGCTTTAGTTGTTATGAGTTTGGGTAATGGGTTACACCATTATGAAGGGGTAAAGGATTACTGTGTTGGGTAAGGGCTAAGAGTTATGGGTTCCCAGTTTTGGTTTGGTTTAATGGTTGCCGTTTTGGATTATGAATTAAGGGTTCCCATTTGGGTTAGGGTTTGCCTAAACCCAGGGAGAAACCGTTGACACAAACCCAAAACCGTTTGCTTTAATGCTTTGCCCTTACCCAGAAGAGTAACCTTTAAACCTGACCCAGATGCATAACGCTTGACACATAAGCCTTAAGCCTAACCAATCTAGGAAGCCTAAAGCTTAACCCAGAAGCTTATCTCAGTACTCACCAATCACACCAAACAGGAACACTTCACCACAACCCAGAGCAGGATGAAGCTGAGCTCGTCTGCTGCCGGGGCTGCTCTGAGGCACAGGGTATGGCGAGCAGCTGCAGGCAGCGCAGCTCGCACTGGAGGTGCCTGGACCCAACTGCCAGCTGTCCTTGGGCAGGGCCCTCTGTCCTCATGGAAACGCACTGTGACAGCATAAAGGTTCCCGGAACCCGGCTGATGTCATCTGCGCTGTGATGCTCTGTGCTCTGCCTGGCCTGGAGCCGATGCCTCCAGGCTGTTGTTCAATGATGTCTTAGTGTTTTTTGTGTGTTCTTTTGTGTTTGCTTTTTGTTTTTTCTTATTTTGTTTTTTGTCAGTTGTCATCTCTGCTTTGCCATGATGTTAAATCCTATTTCGTTGGCATTCTGGTGTTCTGTTGGTAGTGTTTCTTTGTACTCTGGGATATGGATATGGGATCAATTTGGGATAGAATACAGGGGTATGGATTTGGGATGGGACGTGAACATAGGATGAATATGGTCTGGGATATGGATAGAGGGTGAGATATGGGATGGATTTGGGATATGGTTATGGGATGGACATGAGGGTCTGGATATGTGTTACACATACATATGTATATTGCCCCCACCCCATGGGAACAGTGTGGTCTGTGGTGGGGGACACACAGAAGCGACCCCCAGAGTGGGGCCCCCAGTTTTGCGATGTGAAATGCTGGGGGACGCGGGAGCATCCCCAGCTGTGGGACTGTCCCCAACTCTGGGGTGTGACTCTGTCAAGGTGACATGAAAATGTCCCCATCTTTGGGGTTCAATAATGTGGGAGTGTCTCCAAATCTGGGGTGTGACACCATTGGAGTGACAGCGAGGTGTCCCTAAATGCATCTGTGACACTGGGGGGGTGTCCTAACTTTGGGGTGTGACACCTCTGGGGTGACACAGATTTGTTTGCAGCTTTGGGGTGTGACGCTTGGGGATGACATAGGGGTGTCCCTAACTTCAGGGTGTCACAGCTGGGGGTGTCCCCAACTTTGGGGATGTGACATTGTGATGCGATGTCCCCACTTCCCCTGGGAAGTCCTCGAGCTGCTCACTGTGTCCCCAACTTCGGTAGAATGTCCCCAGGGGACATCCTTTCATCCCCTGTGCATGAGGGTTGACACCCAATGACAATGACATCCCGTCAGGGCTGTTCCACATTGATGTCACCCCTGGTCCCCTCTGGTGGTGGCACAGAGTTCACTACTGTGTGTGTCCGTGTCCTCATGACAGACGATGTTGACAGCACCAGAGGGCTCCGGTGTCATCAGGTCCAGCTGTAGGGGTGGAGGGGTGACTAAGGACAGTCAGAGGCTCAGTGACAGCACGGGGCCACCTGTGCCTGCCCCCGTGTGGTGGTCAGAGCACAGGGAATGGTGTCACCCAAGAGATGGTAACACACAAGTGATGGTGACAGATGCGACAGCCAGTGATGGGAAAACTGTGCTACAGCTGTTCCACACTGAGGTCACATGCAGTCACCTTTTTGACAGCGCATCAGGATGATGGTAACACCCTGTGACAGAGACAGTGGTGACCCCCAATGATGGCGACATCCCAAGGACAGTGACACTGGTGGTACCCAGTGATGGTGACAACAGAGACACCCAAAAGCTGTGACACCCAATGATAATGATTCCTGAAGACAGTCACAGTGATGACATTCGCTGACGGTGACAGCTGTTGCCGGTGAGACCCAATGCCATCCGGTGCACCCAATGACGGTGACATTCAATGATGGTGACAACAGTGACACCCAAGTGATGCCAACACCCAGTGATACCCAATGACAGTGACAGCAGTCACCCTGTGCCCCTCTGCGACATCTCCAGATCCTTCCAGAAGACAACAGATCCCTTGCAACCTACCTAAGGACCGTCCAGACCCACCCAAGTCCTCTCAGGGACATCCTCAGACCCTTCTGAATTCCTCTGCTGACATCCTGGACACACCTGGGGACCCCCTGGACCCCACAGGATCCTTCTGGAACATCCCCAGACCCTTCTGGATGACTCCAGGACCACTCAGACCCTCATGAGGACTGCCTGTAGTTTACCAACTCTACTGGGACACCTTCAGATCAGCCCAGAGACTTCTCAGTGCTCCTGGACCCTTAGTGGGAGCTTACAGATCCTCACAGGGGCCCACAGGATCAACCTGGGGTCTCCCTAGATGCCCCAAAACCCCACTGGGACATCTGCAGACTCTTCTGGATGAGTCCAGAACCCCCTGGATGCCCCTAAACCTCTCTAGGATGTCTCGTGCAGATCCTTCTGTATGATTCTAAGGTGAGATAAGGGGGGTTCTGTGGGGGGTGGGAGAAATGGGCTAGTGAGGCTTCTGTGGGGTGGAAAGGGGGTCTGGAGATGGAGGGAGGGGTGGAAGGGGGAAACTGGAGAGTTGTGTGGAGCTTTTGAGGGGTGTAAAGCGGGTCTGAGGGGAGAGAGTGGGGTTGAGGGGGGTGTGTGGCTAAAGGGGAGAACGAGGCTCACCACATGAGTGGAAAGGGGATCTGGGGGTGGTGGGAGGGGAGAACTGGGGGTTGTGAGGGGGCTTCTATGGGACATAAAGGGGGTCCAATTGGGGGTCAAAGTAGGGGAACGGACTCCAGAGAGCGGGGAGGAGGGCATGGGAGTACAGGGGACTCTAGGGGTCAGAAAATGGGGTCAGGAGCGGGGAGAGCAAGGGAAGACACGGGATCCCGGGGGGCAACCTGGGGGGACTGGGGGATGGTAGGAGATTCTATGGATCAGAATGGGGGAATTTGAGCGGGGGTACTTGAGGGAACGGGGAATTCTGAGGGTCAGATAGAAGGGACAAGAGGGGGGGGGGAGGGATGAATCTAGGGGAGAAAATGGGAAGACTTGAAGGGGGGGGGAGGAGGGTGGTGAAAGGGGATTGAAGCAGATTGATTGAATTGAAGCAGATGTAGATAAGATAAGGCACCAAACTGAAATACTGCACAACATAAGACAGTGTGAAGTGAAACCAACATGACTTCCTGGCTTCCCAAATTGCAGTGGCTAAAGAAGTTATCTGTGGGGATGGTGTGTGCAATCGCTGTACATGTGCATCCTTCCTTGTAGTGGGATTGGATGTTGGAGATGTGTCTCTAAGCATGAAAAGTCAAAGGTGGTGAGGATTAGAATGTGAACATCATAATCCTGATGGAAAAGCAGGGATTGATGTGGGGTGCTCTGTTCAGCAGCAGGGCTTAGCTGAACAGTTTAAGAACCAGTTCAAGAACCAACATATGAGTTTAGCAAAAAGAATCCACGAGTGATAGTTCTGATCCTTTCATTTCAGCTTTAGTGGGAGAGCAGCCTCGTTCCTCCTCAATAACTTTGTGTGGGCACACAAAGGAATACTTCTACCTCCTGCCTCAATGATTGTGCCTCACAAATCACTTCTGCTTTGGTCTTCTCTGTATCTGCTAATACCTCTTTTGCTTTTCTCCTTGTCTGCTTGTTACCTCCATCCTTTTTCTTCTTCTCTGCGCTTGTTTCTTTCTTGTCTTTTCTCCTTCTGCTTTTATCCTTCTCATAGTCCTTTGTTCTCTCTGCTCCTGCTCATCTCTCTTGCTGTCTTGCCTGTATCCT